AAGGGCTGAATACATGTGAATTCCATTAATAAGTAACAGTGTCATTGCACATTACTTTTTAATTACTAAATAAATTAATTCTGACTCTAAGGAGGATGGATGGAGATTTTTTTTTATGTAGTATCAAAAGTTAGCTGAAATGAAGACAAAAACAACTCTTATATACTATAACTCTTATTAATTACTAAGCTTTTATACTTGCACGCATTTTATATTGACGTGTGCAATAAAATCTGCTACAATTCCGTTTTAACTGCTGTTGGTATGTTGAAGTATGAATAATTTAATTTTTATTACTTTTAAGTTAAATAGTTAAAAAATTATTTCATCAAATGAAATTCTTAAAGTGATCGTTGACAAAATATTGTAAACCTGTAAAAAGTAGAGTCACGTAACGCTAAGGATTTGGGTTACATTTGTAATGCGCCTTGAAAGAATTTCTAACGAATTAATTATGTTTTTGTGCATGAAAATGTTTTATGGTAATTTATAGTTGCTAAATCTGATTTCAGAAACGGAAATAATTTCGATACTTTACCGAACATGTATCGATATTGCAACCCAATTAATCAATATGTATGACTCAAACATTTAACTAAAAGATGGAACAGTTTAAGTTTATGTGTGTGTTTTAAAAATAAAATAAGCTAAGACGGTATTTTTGACCGACAAATTTGAATCGATTTTCATATTTTCAAGTGTCATTTTCTTAGAGCACCTTTATATCTATATTAATATTATACTTATGAAAATTTGTGAGTATGTATGGATGTTTGTTACTCTTTCACGCCAGAACGGCTGAACGGATCTGGATGAAATTTGGCACAGAGATAGATAATAGTCTGAAATAACACACAGGCTTTTTATCCCGGAAAAATGTACGGTTGCCGAGGGGTAGGTTTATTTTTAGTTATTTTATTACGAGTTGAATATTAAAGTGATATTGATGTCAGTTCTTTTGCCTTCGTTTAGTGTAAAAGGACAGGTTTTTGTTTTGTTTTTGTAGAGTCCGATATAAGGCCAAATTATGTCCGCTGAAATTAAAAAAAAAACTATGACTAAATTTACTTTTTTTGGATATTATTCAAAGCTATCGATCGATAGATAAAACATTACTCCAGTCAAATAAGAGCTAAGTATATTTTGTATAGAATATCATCCAAGCGTTACAGCATCTGGTTTTTAAATCATCCGCCCGATTCGTACGAAATCCGCGATTAGTCTTTAAGCTCTAACCTCTAAGGTGATATTGGAGTAAACTTATTTTTTTAAATTCTTCTTTATAATTATGGTTATTTATCATAATATACATTGTGGTATAGTAAAACGTAATAATTATTTGAAAACGTTTTTTAGAGTTTACATTTTGTTTTGTCCCTGCGTTTTGTTCGTAATTTAATGGGTTTTAATTTTTTTGCGCAGAACCCTAATTCTTTTTTTAAAATAAAAGTAGCATAAGCTACTTCTTATAATATCCGCTATCTGCCAGTGTAAGTCCCGTTAAAATCGGTCCAGCCGTTTCAGAGATTAGACGGAACAAACAAAAACGACACAAATATGATATATGCATTTGCATATAAAAGTAAACTTTATAATTTGTAATTATATAACTTTATAATTTACTAAATAGTAAAAAGCTGTTATAAAAAAATTAAAATTATTACATTACAAACAGACACTTCAATTTTATTTATCTTTATGTATATACTATGTATATATAGATAGTAGTTATAGTAATTGTTTAATTTTAAGAACTAAAAACCAAGAATAATTGGAATCATGCATGTAGTAGCAGGTTTTTTGAATCGATTTATATATATTATATATTTAAAGATATTATATATTTAAACTAGTTGTTATGATGCGTAACTTTTGATATAAACGATTAAGCAAATTAATGCGATCGTTCACGCATTGAATCTCGGTTACGAGACTTGTACGAGTATAAGAAATGCTTACCTTATTGTAATGTAAAACCACTGTTTTCTGTAATTGGAACTAGTTGTACCGCTTTTCATTTACGATAATGCAATTCATACTTTAAATTAAATTGTTATATATTTATTTGATGCATACATTAATTAATATGTTTGTTCTTTTTTATCTGTTAACTAGCAGCGCCCGTGGTTTTGCCCACATTTAATATATATATCGTTACAATAATGTATGGATATCTGCCCAATTTGTTGATATTTATGATTACAGCTCCGCTCCCTCGGGTGACATGTTGATATATAGCCTATAGCCTTTCTCAATAAACGGGCTATCTAATGCAAAAAGAATTTTTCAAATCGGATTAGTAGTTCCTGAGATTAGCACGTTCAAACAAACAAACTCTGCCTCTTTATAATATTAACATAGATAATAACTTTGATCGACTTCATAACGAATAATACCAGTTGTGAATCGTTGCATGTTTTTTATTACGGGTTAAATAGTTGATGATTTTTCTTTATGAAACCTACCTTTTTTTTATTTCATAGTTTTAGCGTGAGCGTAGCCGTGGGTTCTGCTAGATAAGTTATATTTTTGATTAAATACTAGCGATTTCTTAAATAATATTGTAACAGAAAAGTGGCACTATATAATCATAATAAAAAAAATATTTATCAAAATAAGCAAGATAAAAACAAAAAATCTTTCAGATATGTACTCCAAAATAATAATATGAGATTTAGAATTATAAACTATCATTGAAATAATAGTTGTCAGTGGTTTATCTATACTATAATAAAACTGTAGAGGTCGAAGGTCTGTACATAGAAAAAAAAATGCTAAAAACCGAGTCAGGGGGGTGTAAAAAGAGAAATAGAATAAATCCAGATTTTTTCAAATTTTTTGTGTCTGTGTTTGTCTATATGTTGTTACATAATATAATTCATACATCAGAATAACAAATAGGCTACTTTGCATTCCTAAAAAATGTACGCTTCCCGTGGGACAAATTTGATTTTGTTCGTCTTGAGGCGAACCCGAGCGAAGCGAGGGTGAGCCGCTAGTATTAAATAAATTAGTTGTTTATATGAACTTTGTTTCATGTAAGGTACCAATATGAAGATGACGTAAGATTTAATACAGCATCTGCAACCGTTTATTATGGTCCGGACTCGTGCGTCTGATATAATCTAGTGCATAACAAATAATATAAGGCTTCGTGAAAAATCTTTTCAAAGAACATAAGCTTGTTAGATGTATCTATAATCTACGTATTGTAAACATCAGTATCGGATAGCAAAGTTCTTTTTATGCAAAAACTGTTCTCATTTATTAACTAAGTTGTCCGTTATAATTTAAAGTTTTACTGGCTTTTTTCTACGGCTTAGCTCGAATAGTTCTTTAATGTATTAAATTTGTCTATACTTGTATTCAGCCCTTTTAAGCTTCTCACTGCTGGGCATGAACCTCCCTTCAATACGAGGGGGATCAGGCCATAGTCCACCACGCTGGCCAAGTGCAGGTTGGCGGACTTCACATGTCTTTCGAAAACTTGCTAGGTTCTCTCAGATATGCAGGTTTCCTCACGATGTTTTTCTTCACCATAACAAGTAACAATCGTGTTGGAAATGATTCGCACATGAATATCAGAGATGCGAAACCCGAGAATTGAACCAGCTTCACTCAGTTTTCTAAGCGAGGGTGCTATCACTGGGATACAGCTGTCTTTCTGTAGGTAGGTATTTTATAAAATGCAAAAAGCCTTTTTTAAATCGGTAGTTCTGCAGATTAGCGCATTTGAACAAGCAAACAAAAAAAAAACAAATTTTCCAGCTTATAATATTAGTATTCAAAGATATTATCATTTTACAATATCCAATATACGTATTTATGTGTAATAATAGCACGCGAGTTATATCTAAACGAAGCCAGAGCGGTTTGCTACTGTAATAAACGCGTTACATACATAAAACCTTCCCAACAAAATTATATAAATAATGGTAAACTGCATGGTTTTATATCAACGTTGTATAAATTTTATTTCGAACTTTTTCTAGGTCAAATGTACTTTTAATTTAATATTATCGGAGCGTATAAAAATAAAGTTAAAATAAAAAAAATCATGTTGGAGTTACAAAAAAAAATGAAAAATAAAAGTTTAATAAACGAAACTCTATTTAAAAATCAAAAGTAAGCCAACAAGAATAAAATGCATTCGTCAAAACCAAAAAAATAGCCAAACAAGTTTATGTAACCGAGTGGCCAAAGAAAACAAAAAAATATGTTCATTTACTGACGTCGTCAAACGAGTTCGATTCCAGTGACCCACTGAACCCAATCGGTTGGTCTCAGGATTAGTGACTGTAGCAGCATTAAAGCAGCCATGCACGTCAGATTAGGTCTGTACAGTTTTGTATAGTATATATATGTATGTCACTGTACAAATAATCTGGAGTAGTATGAATGGCAGTCAGCCAGGGTAAGTCCGGGAGAGACGCCTATAAGGAAGAGATGCCTATTAAATTTAAAAATTAAAATAAAATTTTTGCGTGATCCGAAACGTATAAATAATACGTCAGAAGTTTTTACGCAAATATACATTATTTTTAATTAATATTTTGGTCTTAATTATATAATTTTATATATTTTTATCACGTACAGGAAAAACTGCGCAGGCACATTCTAGTTACTAGACTCAGTGTACTTTAAAATGGAAACAAGTAAGCGAGAATGAGTATGGCAGTATGAGAATGGCAGTGTAGTGGCTAGCATGTACGGCTGCACACCCGGAGGTCCTGGGTTCGAGTCCCGGGTCGGGCCAAGTTTAGTTATTGAGTCTTCCTGTATAGTAAGTCTCAGTAACAGCCCGGAGTTGGGAAGTTGGCGGTGTTTCACCCCCGTGCCTCGGAGAGCACGTAAAGCCGTCGGTCCTGCGCCTTAACTCTCACCGGTCGTGTCGAGTGGTCGTCCCACCGGAGTATGAGAGTGATAGGAATAGAGAGTGCACTTGTGACTGCGCGTACACTTGAGCACTATAATATCTCCTGCGCAGTTGGCTAATCTCATTGAGATTGGCCGCCGTGGCCGGAATCGGCTAGGAGAACATCATCATCATCATCATGAGAATGGAAGAGCTTTTTCAGGTAATTGCTCGGCGCTACCTGCGCAGCTAAACTGTGCGAGCAAACCTGTGCAGGCATACATATATCTCTAGCGTGAATGGCTACCTTTAAGCGACAGTTATTCTGACTAATCGCTATAGTGTTCATATTACATACGGTCTGGTTTATTTGGAAAGTATCGAGTATATTTTGTTTTTAAACGATTTTTAATACGATGTTCATAAATTAGTAGGATTTTTTACTCTATATTTTTGTGTTTTTTTTTCTGATTACTTAACTATTTTTTTCTTGGTTGCAGGTACATATGGAGTGCTTTAAGTATTTTTTTTGCTTTTTAGCGCTTATGTATAAAACATCATCTGTGTAGGTGGAATTAGGATAATTATACCTTGAATGTTAGTTTGCAGGCGAATTTTGTAGTTTTTTTTAAATATTTAGTAAGTAATATGTCTTTGAATTTCTTTTACTATTTAATAAAGTAGATATTGAATAAGCAAAGATCCATAGAAGGAACACTTTGGTCCTGCACTTTAGCTTGATTTATTGTAAAAATCTCGCAAAAAATCAACGTTTTATACCTTTTATAGACTTGTGCTAATAATTAATACAAAATATATATATACAAAATATCCCTAAACAAAAATCGAATTTGCTACCTTCAGAAATGGCACATTTGAGTGTAGAAGTAGGTAAAAAATAGAGTATAAACAAAGGCGGTATACTAAAAAGCGAAATTATTATTTTTTTGTGCTAAATGTTTCTAAATTCTTGTGATTGCAATTGTCTTACAAGTGGCACCTCTAAATTGAACCTGCGACCTTGGTTAACCGTTCGCCTTTCTACTTCTAAATAGGTACAAACTCGGATAATAATAATTGTTGCTGTGATTATTATTTTAATATTTACTTACAGAAAGATTTTTTATAATTTATTAAAATATATTTTTTTTAAATATTGTGTGTGCATATGTAAAAACTATACAACTCATTTTCATGAAAGTTTACTTATTTAATACATAGGTTACAAGTTATAAAGAAATATAACGAATTACCTAGGCGGAACCGAGGGAATACGCTAGTAAAATATATAGATTAGTTATAACAAAAATATTACTTTGAATCTTGAATAAAAACCTTTTTTAATTTACCGGGACCTTTTTTTATCTTTTCTAGACACGACTGTACAAATATAAAAAAAATAAGGATGTAAGTTCTATCAAGGCTAGTTTGCTTTCAAAGAAAAAAAGCTCATTTGTGCTTTGGCCACTTTAAAACTTAGTGTACTAGGCTCGCAGAAGTCACGAGAAGAATTTTAATGCAAAAAACAATCTCAATTACGATAGTAGCCGCCGCACATTAATTTTTAATCGGTTGATTTGGCAATTTTTATATAACGATAAAATAAATTAATATTTTTTTATGCATTAGTGCTTTATATTTATTTATATTTTTATTTATTCATATTTAGAAATGAATTAAAGTTTTATTATATTTAACAATGAGATACATGACATTAAGATATTTTCAAATCGTGGAAAATAATCATAAACGTATTTTACTTTATTATTAAAGTTTTTTGGGGGAAAATACAGTAACAAATATATATCCTACTAATATTATAAATGCGAAAGTTTGTGAGGATTTATGGATACATATATGTCTGGATGTATAGATGTATAGCTGTTTGTTACTCTTTTACGCAAAAACTACTGAATGGATTTTAATGAAACTACAATAATATAGCTCTTATATCAGAATAACACATAGGCTATTATCCCGGAAAAATTTACAGTTCCAGTGGGATAGGTTTGTTTTTTTTCTAAAGGTGAACCCGAGCGAATCGAGAGTGAGCCACTCGTAGAAACATATTTTACCACATACATAATATATAACATTTTACAGTATGTGTTAAATTGTCTTAAGCGTTGTAAAAAGTCTTCATTGTACGATTGCTCTAACAATATTGACAACATGTTTTTATCCTTAAATGGTGTTTCATATCAAAAGGCCATATGTCCGTGTTATGAATTTTGTAAAATAAACTCTAATTCTATGATAATAGAATATAAAATAAAATATGGTAGTTATGTAGTTTTAGAGTCTGTATTATTATACAGATGATTGGTGTTTTATAGCTTATGGGAACTTTTGTCTGAATGGAATGCAATTAATAACGATTTGTGGCTTTGTTAAATTTCGAGGTAAAAGTTTGAAACAAAAATAGATTTTAGTATGCATAATTGCATAATCTATATATATAAAAGAAAGTCGTGTTAGTTACTTCGCTTATAACTCAAGAACGGCTGAACCGATTTAGCTGAAAATTGGCAGGGAGGTAGTTTAGAGCCAGGAGAAGGACATAGGATACTTTTTATCCCGTTCGACCGCGTTCCAATTTTTATGATATTTTAATTTTTGGATTTCTCTTAGTCCGGAATAGGTAAGTATTAAAACATATAATTAAAATGTGAGAAAGAAAGATTTTTTCTTTTTATATCTATTTAAAACGTACCTAGCGACGAACCCGAGCGAAGCGAGGGTGAGCCGCTAGTATCTTAAAAAATGTAAAATTTTAGGGAAATTAAAAGCAAGAAATATATGGGGATTTTCTTTTGGCACCTAACAAGATATTTTGGTAATCGATTTTAGGAAGATAATGTAAAATTAAGATATGAATGTAGGTAGGAAAAAAGAATGGCATGAAATGGAATGTGATTGTATGAATGAGAGGGATGTATGGTGCGACCGAGATAGAAACAGGAAAGAGAATATGGTGTAGGTAAAGAAAACAGAAAGGGTTGAAAAAAAAAATAAAAACAAAAGAAATTGGGAAAGAAATGGAAGTTTTTTATAATCCCTCATAAATATATGGATGTAGGTACAATATATAATTAAAATTAAATTCAACACCTTATGTTTATATATAATTAAAGGATCTCCGTATCAGTTCAAGTATAATCTAGTTCATAATTGTTTTGAGTTAGTAAACCAATATATATCTACCTATAACAATATTATATATATTTTTTGATATTGAGCAGGCCCTTCGAAATCAATGATTTTACTATGAAACCGGAACCACCGTGGACATAAAATTAAATTTTTATTTGTATGTCCTATATGCGTTTCTAAGCCATTCGTCAAATTATGTAACTTTGGTTTTGGGTTTTGTAAAAAAAAGTGTAACAGAATAGGGTGTGAAACTATTTTAACAAAGTCAGGGTAAGCCACTAGTAATTTCTAAAAGAACATACTTATAAATATACAAACACAGTTATTTATCATTGAAATGCCACTAGAATAAGATAATTTTGATAGTAACTAAACTGAACCCATTCAGTATGACGACGGTCACTTGCTATAAATACCTTATTGTGCTCGTGACCTCTCACTAACTAGTAACAGGCTGCTGTCTAACATCTAGCTGTTTAGAATCTAATTTTAAATTCTTTGAGGATCGCGTCGTGGTAGAGTATGTACGTGTACGCCGATTCGAGTCTCGTTCGAGACAAATATATGTACCTATGCATGAACGATAAGGATCAAATCAAATAAAATATTCTTTATTGGACACCATTACATAGTTAAAACAGGTTATAGAAAATGAGTACAATAGGCGGCCTTACCACTAAAAAACGATCTATTCCAGGCAACCTTTGGATAGAAAGAAAGAAAGAGAGAAGCAAACAATCTTAAGGAGAGATCTATAAATGAATACATACATAGACAAACAGATATATTGTAATACATACATATATACACACATATATTGACACATACATTGACACATACATGCCTCCATGTGTATTTTTTTATAAAATGAACCCCTGCTATGGATATATTAAGTGGCGAGTTTTACAAGTATTCTCTGTCTTAGTGCCTATCGTATTTATTGTTCCAGTCTATTCTGTAACAACTTTTATATATTACTACAGTTGAAAAGGCGTATAAATAAATAAATATGTTGGGACATAGACACACAGCACCACCTAGTTCCATGGTAAGCTACGAGGCCTGTGTTATGGATACCAGATAATCGATACACTACACATATATAACTTTAAATACATAAATATTATAGACATAAACATTAAACACCCATGACTGGAGTATAAAAATTCGTGTTCATCACACAAATGAATGCCCCCAGCGGGACTCGAACCCGCGATCGCTGGCACAGCAAGTAGGGTCACTACAAACTGAGCCAAACGTGTCGTCAAACATACATACATACACTTCATATAACTGAGTGAAGTAGGTATGTGTGCGGGTTCACCTGTCTAGTTGCGTAAAAGTTCTTACAGACTTATCTACTTGACCTACAGTACATGGTACATGACCTATTTGCGTGATAAGTAAATCCATAATATGCTATATAAAAGTAACAAACGTCTTCACAAAATTTAATGTTTATGGTAACATTTTTTTGTATATCTTCCCTTATTAGAATTTCTAAGGGTGAAATAATTACATTTAAGTGATTATGAAGTCGGTTTCCTTTTTAATTAATAAGCAATTATTTCAATATAAATAACATATTATTTAGTAAATAGTATGTCATCTATGTTAAAAAAAAGATTTGCATGTGTGAGTGTATAATGTCAATCTATTTCAATAATTAAAGGCTATTTTATTTAATTTTATTTATTATTTCAATATAAGCATGTACTCTTATCTATCAGTAAATACATAGTGTAATACTTTCTTAGATTTACGCGAATATTTGACATTTTAATTAAAATTATCTTTTCGGATTTTTTCGCGGATTTATTTGGATTGTTGGTTCCCGACGTTTCGAATGCTTTACAGCAATCATGGTCACGGGAGAGACCCCTCTCTCCCATGAATGCTGTAAGTCCAAATAAATCCGCGAAAAAATCCGAAAAGATAGTTTTATTTAAAATACAATAGTGATTTAAGACATTATGATGTTCCAGGTGCCTATCAGTGCGCATGAGCACGGTGAAAGACGAATTATGGAAGCCAAGAAATATCACGTTCCGTGTCTATAACGACATTTTCCCCGCCATATCGGTCTCATTAGGTAAAATTGTACTTTCTAGTCATCACTCACTGCTTTGTTACATTACTTTTTGACTAAAACGGTTCGACCGGGTTCAATCCTGTTGATTACAAAAAAAATATGAA